AAGTGTTGTTGAGAGTAAGTGTTATTTTACACGACTAAACTGTCTTCTTAAAGCAAAACATTTCAGTTGTGACTACACCTAAATAAACCACTGAGATGTTTTACTTCTTCATACATCTCTTGTATTCTCCTACCTTGAGAGTTTTCGCAACATAAGTTATATATTAAAGGGGACCTATCATGCAAAATGANCTTTTTTACGTCTTTTATACGTGAATATGTGTCCCCGGTGTTCCAGGAAACACAACCCTCTCTATTTTCCTCCATACCCAAATCTCTTAAAAAGGGGCTGCAACGGATCTGATTCAGACTGATCCAGATTTGAACACTTCTATGACGTCACAGAAGTGGCGCTACGGCTATTGGGCCAACTCCACCAATCAGGAGGAGACAGCCACGGACATTGCCGTTGGAAAGCGCTGGAGACGCTGTAGTACATATGCCAGGCCTGTAGATGGTGCTGTTCTCACAGAATCAGCCCATGCAAAGACGGTGTTAAATTGAGCGAAATGAGGAATGGCTAAAATGCATGATCTGTTTGGTATTTTGAAAAATAAAAAGTATAAATATGCCTTATATAGGTATGGTCCTACACTATATTATTCAAATATAGCATGATAGGTCCACTTTAAGTTAGAATTTGCACTTAGCTTTCCAATTAAAATCAAGTCCAATTTAAAATGCACTCCATCTTTCATTCGTGTAACATTGAATTGTTTAATATTAACCAATCTTTAAGTGTGTTAAATTGGAAGTGTAGCTGGCGCCTTTATTCCTTTATCTTAATATATGTTTTTTATTGAAACTGATGGATTATGGACGGCTGTGTCTCTCAGGTGTGCAAGGTTTGATGGACGGCATTGGAAATAACATCAGCAGCTTCTCCAAAGTGTTCCCTGTGCAGAGTTGCCTTTCCAACTTCACTATCGCTATCAGCCATGCCCATGCCAAGATTGAGGAGTACTACCCTGAAATTGACAAACTGGATTTCTACAGGTGAACTCATCTCCTATTCTTAAAACTGTAAGAGTAAAACAAAGGTAGAGAGAAAGAAAAACATACCTTAAACTGTAGAAAGTGTAAATACAGAAATGTGGGCTCTGTGTCGATGCTTGTGTTTTAGGTTCCTGCTCTCTAGCAGACTCCTTTTAGGAACTACAGTACGGTAATGTCTGCTATAAAAGCTTGCCCTAATATTTTGCATTAATAAAATATTCATATGCGTTCAACATTAATTCAGTTCAAAATAGTGCACTCGAGGGAAATCTAAGATGATTTAGGAGTCATTTTTATTTTCCCGCATCAAGCTTATGTGCCGTTTTATAATAATTTAGTTTTTAGCTTTGGCTTCCTTGTCTTACTCAAACACATTTTTCATCCTAAGTTTGTCATTTTAAGAGTGAAATATCTAACTGTGTGTCTGCTGCTTGCAGGTGGATTGGCTGTATTGCTCTGTGCTGTATGGTGGTCCTGGTCCTGGCCTTCAACTACCTGGGCCTGCTGTGCGGCACTCTGGGATACGACAAACACGCCTCACCTACGACACGAGGCTGCATCTCCAACACGGGAGGAACCATGCTCGTGGCGTGAGTCAACTTTACAACTGAAGGAGGAGGTTTTTGTCGAAAAATAAATCTTTGATGATGCCAGGGTTCAGGTCACTGCTAGAAATGTCGTGCAATTTATTGCTAGTTAGTGCTAGTTATTCTCAACAACAACTTCTATTTCTGCCACAACTACTGCTACGATTTATCGTACATATAAGCTACAGTACTTCAGAAAAGTGTAAAGACCAGAGGATTTATTCAGAATCAAGAAAGATAACCAAAGTGCATTTAGGAACAAAGTTGACCGAGATATTTTATTGAATGCAGAACCAGAAAACAATAACTTTAGTGCATAACATAACATTGTTTAAGGCAAAATAAAGTTATTTACTCGAACAGCATTTGTTTCCTACATGATAAGGAAATCCCGTATTTAGGATTTAAAGGGCTCTCATACAAAGGGGAATAAATGTTTTTGAATTTCGAAGCATAAACCTTTGACAAAGTATTCTACATGTCATGATTTTTGTCTTATTTTATATCTAATTTGAGATACTTATTCACATCAAAATGAAACCTCTGCTGATCCTTTTAATTCCCCTCTTTCCACCCATTCCAGTGCTGCTACACCTCCATCTCTGTTTGTTCAATACTGTTTCTGTACCTGTGTGTCCTCCTCCACAGCGGCGTTGGATTCAGCATCATCTTCTCCTTGGTGCTGATGGGAGTGGTGACGGTCATGTTCCTGCTTGGAGGAAACATGGAGAAACTTTTCTGTGAGCCTTTCCACACCAAAGAAGTCTTCAAGGCAAGTCAGGAGTCTCTGGAAAAAATAAGCACATTCAGAACTCTTCAATGTGTAGGAAGAAAAATGTACAGGGTATCTCCATTAGGGATTCGACCTAAAAGCTATAAAAATGATATGTCTGATCGTAGCCTTGAAATAAATGTATGGGTTATTAGTGCCCTAAACTTGTTGAACCTTTTTTTACAGAACAGAAAAATTGTTTAAATATTATTTTGGTATAATTTCCTTCTGTGCCTCTCTCAGCTTTCTTGCTGTTTCAGTTCAAAAAGGTGTAATAAAGGGATCAACATAAAGCCTTTCTTACTCAAACTGGATACTAAAATATTAGTTCGGACTAGTTCAACCATTATGACCGTATTTAATGATTTAATTTAGTTTTACCACAGCTATACTGCCAGGAAATAAATGGATTGTAACAAGAGATTTTCCATTTTAGTTACAAAACTAAATACAGGAATTGTGAAGCAAGAATGCCGCTTTGTTTGGGTTTGAGTGTTTGTCTTGAAGTATCCTAGCCTTCACTTAAAGTGGACCTATCATGCTATATTTGAATAATATAGTGTAGGACCATACCTATATAAGGCATATTCATACTTTTTATTTTTCAAAATACCAAATCCTCATTTCGCTCAATTTAACACTGTCTTTGCATGGGCTGATTCTGTGAGAACAGCACCATCTACAGGCCTGGCATATGTACTACAGCGTCTCCAGCGCTTTCCAACGGCAATGTCCGTGGCTGTCTCCTCCTGATTGGTGGAGTTGGCCCAATAGCCGTAGAGCCACTTCTGTGACGTCATAGAAGTGTTCAAATCTGAATCAGTCTGTATCAGATCCGTTGCAGCCCCTTTTTAAGAGATTTGGGTATGGAGGAAAATAGAGAGGGTTGTGTTTTCTGACACTTGGTGAGTTCCCTGGAACACCGGGGACACATATTCATGTATAAAAGACGTACAAAAGTGCATTTTGCATGATAGGTCACCTTTAATCAGGCCACACTAATGATTGTTTTATTTCCTTGCCATGATAATGATTGATCACTCTTCCTCTTCCTGGCTTTCTCATCCACCAGGTTGTGGACACGCCATACCTGGTCAACCCAGAGTGGAAGAACTTCATCCCGGGCTACATGTACAACGACTCGGACCTGGAGCTGACAGCAGAGAGCTTGTACAGGCAAGGAACAACTTTTATGTATTTAGATGACCGTTTAATGTTTCAGAAGCAATCCTGAGGAGATTATTATATTCCTCACAACCTACTCCACATCTGTCTTCTCTGCATTTCCTATTTAGATCTGACTAAATGGCTAAATTAATGAAAAAACAAACAATGTATTCAATAATAAGCTGTGGAATTACTGGATGAACAACATGCTGCTTATAATTTAGATTTGGCGCAGGCGTTGGGTCAGACATCAAGCATGCAACTGAATGTTATATCCATTGATGGGGATGCAAATGAGAAGGAGAGAATGTATTAACCTTGAGAAGTTAATTAGCATCATTTTTCTACAATATCTGTGCTGCTTTTCTTTAGCCTCTTTCTCAGTGGTTACATCAGCTTTCATCATCTCCTTTCAGTGAGAAGCTGCATATACTCAGTAAAGGGGATGGCAGTCTTTATATACTTCCAAATAGAGCAGTGTTTCTTTGACCTGTCTTTTCTTTGCCAGTATTACTACTATACTAATACTGTGTACATGATGTGAGTCTGGTATGCAGCTGCCTAATGTTATCGTGGGACATTTATCTGTGTTATTTTGGCAAATATTCCAGGCTTTTTGTGTAACGGTACAATGTTTTCTGTCAGGGAACGTGCCAATGTCATGTACTTCCAGTCAGTTTCACTTGGTGGCAGCAAATGTTTTCAATCAAAAACGATTAAGTTGACATTTCCTCTCTCTTTTCTTCTTTTTCTCCATTATGTCTTTCTTAGTACTTGCAAAGAGAACAAAGGCATCTACTCAGCCATGCGTCTGGACAAACTCTTCAACATATCCTCCTTCCTGAACTCTACAGTGGTCAGTAAACTCAAGACACAACATTAAAACATTCCTTCATATACAGTGACTAACCAAGTATCTTTATATTACAAGTATAAGATTATGGATGTATTTGCAAGTTACAAACGATTCAACAAGTTATGGTGTCACTTATTTGGCAAATGTACAAACAAGATACTTCTCAATACATGTATGTTTTAAATAAGCACTCGGTAAGGGAGTTCTATATTGTACTGTAGTTCTGATTTATCTGAATCTATGTTGGTGTTGTAAGGTATACTATACTCTGCAACTTCATGTAACAAAAGTATTGGCAGAATATACAATAAAGAAGGCATTGTACTACATTCTCAAACCAAAGGTAGAATTAAGCAATTTGAACATGTAGCTAACAGCTGATGTAGTGTCCAGACATCTTCATCCTTGGCTACAGGATCTAATTAGCATTACCTAATGATTTCTTTTTGCTGCCAAAACGAAGTCTGTGCTGAGGGCCGATAGCTTTGACATGCCTCAGCCCTTACCTCAGTGTACGCCTGAGACATTACACTGATGTATGTTTCTATTTCTTGTTGGCTGCGAGCCAGCAACTCCTGCCTGCCTGAGACATTCAGTACTTTCCTGTCAGTTGGCAAAACTGTCTTGGCTTGTCCAAAACAACAGCTGGCATTTCCAATGCTGCTTGTCTTTCTGCATATTGGTCATTTATCAAAGTGTGTCATCCTACATGATAGGATTTGGAAAACAAAAAAGGACTATACAGTAGATCAGTTATTTAATTTTTTGTGCAAAAGCTATATTGAAAAATGAGTTTACCCATAACGAACAGTCGCAACATGCTTAAAACATTATTGGATCTTTGAAATTATTTAATCTTTTCAGATATTGAATAGCTGTCTATTCCACATTAAAATATCCCCTTCTTTACAATATGAGCAACAACATACATTACATTCCCATGGTGAAACATGGTTCTCAATCAAGTCACTGTGATTATAGAGATATTGGTCTAATTCTTTAATGGGGGTTGAGATGTGAATAAAGTTGTTCTTCAGCTTGATGGTACTGTAGTGTCATTATCATAACATGTTAATCAGACCTTCTTAGTATCATATCCTCTTGGTCTTTGAGAGAGACCTTTTGACTTCACCATAATGCATACCAGATTATATGCTCACCTGTTGTCAATACATGTTGTCCCAAAATAACTAAACATACCGTATTTACAGGGCTACATTTACATACCTAGAGACATTGACAAGTACCAACAGTATCAAGTATCATTGCACCTATCCGAGCTTTAAAAACAGGCAGTGGCTCTGTGTCGGCCTCGTGTGGACGAACCGTCTACGATAAAGAACCCGTTTCGTCTCCGTGTGGACGGGGCCTAAGGTTGTTCTGACTTTAGTTCCCTTCGTGTAGCTTAATCTGCCAATTAAATGAATTAACTGATAAAACATTTAAATGAATTCCATCTTTTAAAGAAAAACATAACTCTACTGTATACTCAGTACAATGACTATTCTGAGAAATCCAAACCATTGTCAGCCCTGGGGTAAACTCCTGTTTCGGCATTTAAGGGTAAAGTTAAGAGAAACATTTTAGGAAACAAACATCTCCATTGCCAACATTTTTGTTGGGTTCTCTTCAAAGTGCCATAAAAAAGCTTGAAATTACATATTATCTTCAAGCCTTTTGGAAAATTTGAATTTTTGGTTATGGCTTTCATAAACGACAATACAATAAACCCTTATTGACACATAAAGTCATTCTAGAAATGTTGTTTCATGTCTGCCCAGGAATAGATGTCGTCTCTTGGTTTAATAACTTGGTTGGGTAAGAAATGCATTCCAATTTGTTCATTCATGTAGCAACTTTCAACAAGTCAACAAAAGTGCTTTATGCATTAATAAGGACTGCAATTAAGAGTTACAAGAATGATTTGTCCACACAAACAACCTCAAGAAACATAATTCTGGTATGCTATGTGAATTACTATCCAAACCACATCTTTAAAATCGTTTTTCACCCTAGTACTAACGTTTGCTTAGCATTTTTGTAGGCCTATCATTATGTTAACAATTTGTATGTATTCACTCTGTTCAAAGACTAAAACTGTGACGTACATAGAAACCTTGGTGAGAGATGTGAGATGTTAGGTTAAGACTATTTGAGAATCCAAAATGTAAAATAACATAAACAAGCCGTAGTGTTTTACATGCAGTCCTTGTTAAAAACGGTTCCTTTTTGTTCGCAGTTCACTAAGGATGTGGTGAGTCAGCTGGACAGCGTTAAGATCGACCTGAGGGGAATAATCCTGTTGGAGCCAGAGGGGAAGCAGAACCTCATGGATTTCTCTGACGCAGGGCTGTCAGAAATCAACTATGCAGACTACCTGGAAGAGGTGACACATAATACATAACATAACCATTAGGGGTGCACGATTCGATTCGATTTCTTGAGGTCATGATTCGATTCACAATCGATTCGCGATTCAAAACGATTCGCGATTCAAAATAGCTCAGGAGTCCGCCCCAGTGAGTCATGAAGAGTGATTTCCTGGTGTGTTTCCCTGGATGCTGCATAAAGTCTAAGTGCCATGTTAGCGGGACATTACGGAGCTCACGCCGTAGAAAAAATGGAAAACAACGTTGCGGCAAGACTGAAAAATGTGAATCGATTCTTGGAATTTCTGAATCGATTCTGAATCGGCAGAGATAGAATCGCGATTCTTATGTGAATCGATTTTTTTGCGCACCCCTAATAACCATGAACTGCTTACTGTAAGGGAAACCTCTGTGTAGCAATGCAGTGGGAGTCACCGACTCATGAAGGAGACACGGGAAGAGCAGGAGCTTTGATGTCAAACACTGATGGTTTATTTAGGAGCTTCGACCGGAAAATTCACATCACAAGTCCAAGAGCAAGAGGTTCTGACTTCACGGTAGAGATACCACGTCAAATCTGAAGAACTCTACCCCAGACCCATGTATTTAGCTAGTTCAGAGAGAATAATCAACATGCTGCAAAACAAGATAGAATCATAACACCTCTACCAGCTGACGCCAACAGGCAGGAACAGGGAGACAGAACACTGAGAGCACAGCAGCCAAGGTTACAGGTGCGTGTGCTCAGTCAGGACAGTTTGAACTGATAAACTGGGTCAAAGTTATGGACCTTAGAAAATATTTCCCCAACACTTACAATTGCCATGCTTACATTTTGGATTCTTTATTATGAACTTTTTGCTACTTGTAATGAACTGCTGCACCACAATTTCTCTTAGGAGAAATAAAGATTTATCTAATTCAAAAACGTAATAAGTATAAGCCCAGACAGATCACACTTAAACTGTGCATGATTCAAAATCAAATACAGAACAAATGAACTGAAAACAGAAAAATACATTCACATAATAACTATATATGATCTGTATGGAAATTACAAAGTAAAAGTCAAATATAAAATGTAAGACATATTCTGAAACGTTACTTTAATAAAAGAAGCAATACCACATTGTGAAAAGTAGTAGAATATGTTTTCACTGATGCCTTTATGTGTAATCATCAAGTTTAAGTGAAATATAAAACGAACATTGTCCCTATGATATGCAGTTGAGTAAAAGTATAAAAAAGCATTACATGGAGATATTCACGTAAAGTAAAAGTACCTCAAATTGTAAGTACTAAGAGTAAATCTACTTCCATTCTACCACTATAGGCTCTGACGTCAATTCATTAGTGATATCTCTTTATACAGCACATACCAGTTCAATGAAAGACCAGGGTAAATATTGATAACAGATTGTTCTATACATATACTATAATGTATGTACTTTAAAGGACTGTTACCAGAAATAGCATGGTTCCTAAGGGTCTGTTAAACCTCCCCCCCTCCCTGGCTGTCAGTTAACATACAGCAGGCAGCCATGCTTTACCCAATAGGAGCTGCGACCTGACACAGTACACTGGGTTCTGTTGAGCATCACTGAAGCCTGATTATCCAAAAGTATTCCTGCCAAGGCAAAGAGAGCGTAGGAACAAGCCGGGACTCGGTACTCCCGTCTTCTTCGACACTACCTGTCAGGTTCACTCAGATGTATTTCTTCTGAGAGCAAAGAAGAGGTTGAAGGACTCCATTCAAGTGCACCACCTGTCCTGATTCACAACCCACTCTCAACAGTCAGGAGGAGAGGTTTGAGGTTCTTAAACTTAGATAATAATAGTGTATTATGAGAGCAACTCTAGTAGAAATATATTACAGAGAGGACCCTTACAATTATGCAAGTTTCCAAACCCCTTGTCTTGGCCCTTTCCTGCAATATCTATAGAACATTTAATCTAAATAATCTTTTACTTTTTGGCAAATTAATTACAATTGAGTGTAGGGAGGTTAAAAAAAAGAGATTGTGTATTATTCAGATGATCAATAGTTCCTTTCTTTTTAAAAATATTATGGTTTTAATCAAAAACTGCTACATAGAGACAACATTTCTCTGTTGCCAAACACACTGATTTGATCTTGTGCATAATGTAAGTGGCTTTTTTTGTTAAAGCAGCTTTACAGGAGGTTTGAAGAGGTTACCTAAAGTGATGGCACCATGTTGGCTTTTTATTTATTATTTAGCCACTACTATGTTTTCATTCCTTCAAGTTATGTGTACCTCCTGAGTACATGGATTGCCTCTGAGTTTAATAAGTATTTAGTGCTTGAGCATGTGCTTCCAAAGGAAATACTGGAGCAGTGAAGTGGTTTTAAAATTTAACGTTGCCCTATTGATGTGTGTTTTTACTACAGCAGCTCAGGCTAATTATGTCTCAAGTTAACAGTCATTCCAAGGAGCAGTGGGATTTTTGAAATGTAAAAGCAACAAAATGAAGTCATTTTTTAAACGTGTTTTATTACAGTATGCAGCTAATAATGGATGATAGCCTCTAAGTGTTTTAACCTCCAAAATGACCACTGAAAGAAGATTATTTATTCCTCTCTTTATACCCGCGTACCTTCAGGTCAACAAAGGAGTTACAGCGATGGACCTGCTCACATATGCCAGAGAGCTGGAGGCGCAGACAGACCTCATGGTAAGAACACCTCGGTGCTTTATTTACGTTACATTACATTTAGCTGACACTTTTAAGGCTAACATACACACATGTTTCTTTAGAGATACATCATTAGATTAACTTGTTTCTCCGCCCGTGTGTGTGTTTCAGCCCAGAGGCGGTCTGCAGAGCTCTCTGAAAGGTCACATCGGCACTCTGCGGCAGATCCACGCTCAACAGGTCATCCCCATGGAGCAGGCCATGGTAATGCCTCATTATTATTTTTCAAGCTACTGAAATCGTTTAAAAACGTTGCAGTAACAGCAGCTTTTATTGTATTTTCCATCTAAATATGTGGCTTAAATCTGTTGTTTTACGACGGGGAAACAATGAACTGGCACGATACCAGGGTAGAAAATATTTGCAGCTAACCTAGAAGTTCTCTCGTTAGAATTTTGTCGAGTTTGGCAGTCAGTGTTGAAGAGGAATGGACCACATTTCTTAACCACACTGGCCTTAAAAGACCAGAGAGCAATGCAATGAGCGGGGCACGTTGTTTGCGACTGAGGGATGCTTTTTCTTGTAAAGAAAGTACAGCTCTTGTTCTACTATTGCTGTAAGGGCAAGTAAATGCTGTACGTTCTTAACAATTCTTAGCTTGGAGGGTTGCTCGGGGACACACTGGGAAAAGAAGGAAAAAGATGAAGCAGGTTGAACTAGAGAATGCAAAACTGGATTTGACCTTTAGGGTATACAGTCACTGAAATGTACTGTATGACACATGATTTTATATATAGGACAGTAAAGTGGAATACGTTTTATTAATTGCCAACTCCTGCCAATTCCTGCAATACAGATTTGATATAAAAAATAGACTTGAAATAATATTGATAATAATATAAATATATCTATATAAAAACTAGATCAAATGACTATTGTTTATATGAAAATGGCAATCATAGCGACAAAGTCAGAGAATTGCCCTCAGCTTGGAGAGAGGAATTTAGCATCTTTGAGCTCATTGCTTTGGTCTTAGGGCCCGTAACGTTACAGTACAGCAAACCCTTTTATAATTGTAATTATAGCTCTGTATACATATATAAAATAAAGATGTGCGTGTGTAGGACAAAGTTCATAGAATAAAAAGGTAGACAAACAGTATTGCATGTACGTAATGTAACAGTCCAGGCTTGATAGCAGCAGTATTATGATATTACGGCGAGATGGTGGGGACCAAAAACAGAGCAACAAGAGAGAACATTTTGACTTATATACATGCATCAGGTGGCTAGAAACACATCTCTAAATGAATGCTAATGTTGAATGTGTTTGAAAATGTTTAGCTGCTAATTTAAAGATCAACAGTGAAAGTGTGTTCACAGCTTATTTCACTGCCAAAAGGTGACCCAAAAATTCATTAAAGTAGTCATTAAGAAACTCTACTTCAGAATGCAGTCAGAGGCATTGATGTGTTATCAATGGGCTAATGCTAATTCAAGGGAATGATTACATATTAGACTAACATATTCATATCATCCAACGTGGAGTGTTTTGACCCTCAGGCCACGTTCAATCATCCCATGTTGTGGAAAACACATTAAATATAATTTTTAATTTTCCCTGTCAATGTCAATACTATATAATATTGAATTAGGGTTTTACAGCTACTGGACATTCAAACAGTGACGCGCTTCAACACGACTTTTACAACAGATTCTTGTGTTTTTCTTTTTCCACTTTCCACTTCAAGAAATATGTTAGAGCGAGGGTAAGCTGAAATGTGTCCATGCCATGTATTTAGTGTCCCCATTCATTATATGGATCATTTAGAGATATTGTATCTCACAGATGACATATAGTAATCTGAGAAATCTCATTCTGGGTGGTATTGTGGGATATTGTGTGTGCTTGTGTTTGTATTTACATAAACGTATCCTATTCAATGGTTTTAATCATGGTTTTGTACCAAAATATTCAATGATATCCACTTTAAGAAAAGAAATGCAAGTTTAATCCAGTTATTCATTTGGTATAAAAGCTCTGTTCTCTCCAACATTTTTGTGAAAATCAAGAAAATATTCATAATTTCTTTCTTTGCAATGTGGATATTACATTTTGGAACAAAAATCTTCAGCATGCTTGTTATAAAAGCAGAATATTGTTCATCGAGTGTTGTTATTACCGGGTCTCCCTTTGTGTTTCTCTGGTGTAAATGGCCCCTAAGTGTTTCCCCTGACTTTTCAGGTTTCTGGTGTTAAATTGTGCGTTTTTTTTCTTTTTAAAGAGCGCATTGAACCAGAGTATGAGGTTCCTGGAGAGAACAGCTTCAGACCTGCCAGTAAGCCAACAAGCTCTTCAGTATAAATCAGAAATATAGGCTTAGATTAAAGTCAAAACCTCATTACATCTGTAATTTCTTCCCTGCAGAACAAAGTTTTAGCAGTTCTGGAGGCGATTGAAGCGGCCCAGTACCTCATCTCCCAGAATGCAACACATTTAATCAATCAGGTAACGCATGGATACCTTACTTTGTTCATATGTTCTGTTGATCTGCACCTCACATTTTGTCTTAATCTATTACAGGAAACGGGAAAATACACAGCCACCATTGTTGGCTACTTCAATCAATACATAGAATGGGTCAAAACTTCAGTAAGTGTTTGCGTGTCGATTTGTTCGCTTTATTTGCACATTTTTAAAACACCAAAAGGAAATGAAGAGTAAAATTAAATCTAAGAAAAGTCAAATACATGTGCAGGTGAGGTAGAAACCCATTATAGGTTTATCAAAAACATATTTAAGTATACAAAATAAACGTATCTTAGGTGTATACTTGAAGAATTACATTATTATATGACTTAGTCAAAACCGAACAATGTTAGTACAAAGAGAGAAATGCACTTTGCATGGTACATGAGTCAATTCAGAGAAGACCAATATAACAATTACAACCTCTATAAATTGGAGGAATTTGCTTTGTGGCTCATTGGTTTTGGCCGTAGCTAGCTAAAGGAATTCACAACAAGAGCAAAGACACGTTTGAAGCATGAAGCTATTTCCTTAGAGCTGTCAATAGGACGTTTTATTTCAATCACAATGTTTTTGTAGTTTTGAGAGAACACTTAAAGTACAAGGACCTACTCGGACTTATTGTGCAATGAGAAGCTAGACTTTCCGTAAGTACTTAAGAATGGTACCAAGAGAGGATTTCATCTTTTTAAGCTGCTAACAGAATGAAACATAAGAGTCTGATGTGTTCCTGAATCTGTTTGTGTTGATGTTTACTGATTATATCTCTCTCCCTGCAGCTGGCCTTAGAGGTCGCACCGTGCAAGCCTTTCAGCAACATGCTGGACACGGCGGAGATCATTACTTGCAGTTTTGTGGTCGACTCCATGGTAATGATATCAGGGAGAAAGAACCATTTAAATATGATTGGGAATGTTTAAAGAGGGGTGGTGCACCATAACTCTTTTTTGTATATTACATTTAACAATGATCAGGTAGATCAAAAATATGCAAGACATGAGTTGGCAAAAGTGTGAATTTGAATTTACATCAGTTTGTTTGAAGCTAACAATTTCATTAATCGAGATATTTTCTTTATGCACAATTTCGTCTGTAAAATGTCTGAAACTTCATCTAACATGTAGGCCCAATATAACAATCAGTAAATATGACTATTTTGTCCAAACAACCTTCTGAAACCTAAAAATATTGAATTTAAAATCACTAAAGATAAAAAAAGAAGCAAATCCTGTTCTTATAACTCGGGGAAATTGGGCATATTTGCTGGGTAAATGACTTCATTGATTTATAACTTATCACAATTAAAATACTGGACTATTGGTTTGGTTTTTTCTCCACAGAACACCTTCTGGATGGGCCTGGGCTGCAGCGCTCTCTTCCTGCTGCCCAGCATCATCCTCGCTGTGAAACTAGCAAAGTTCTACCGCAGGATGGACACAGAGGACGTTTACGACGAGTGAGTAGTCATGTGTGTTACTCCTTTACAGCTGCATACATTTATTTTATAGTTTAAACTGCAAAAGATGAATCTCGTTAAGACAGTGTTTAGTCTTTACAATTGATATTGTTGAATATGCTGTGGATGGTTCTTTCTCTCCAGCTTCTTATGTTCTACCCGCCTTCTGCAAGTTATATCTAGCTAAACTGCAGAAAGAGGAATTTGACTTGACATACTATTCTTAATCATTTGAATATCATTTGAACTTAAATTGATTCACGTTTTTAAATCTACACTTCTTCACACTCTCCAGACACTTTTGAGTTTAGGATTCAGTGACTTCTATAATGTGTTTTTTCGTTGATGTGTTTCCTTCTGCCTTTTCTCCCGTTTGTAGTTCCTCTGTTTCTGGGACTTGGCATTTTACTTTGTGATAACCATTTCTACGATTTCCATTTTCCATATTCTTTTTTTTTTTATCGTTTCATCCCTCTCTGTCAAGCACTTGGCACTTTACAAAGAAACATTGACACATTTGTCAATTTACATTTCTTCTCCGTGCACCTTCTGTTCTCTCATTTAATCCCAGCTTCACACAAACATCACGCAATGTCTCCATCAGCTGTCATGTGATCTGTGCCGGGTCACATGTCTGTGGTGCATTTCCATCGCTCAACATTTCAATCAAATGTTTATGTTGTTGTTTTTTGTGTATCTTTATAGCATTGAGACAATGCCCATGAAAACGTAAGACTTTTAAACCACCTCCCTCTCCTTTTCAACTTCTGTCACTCTGTGCTTTTCTCCGGATCTTGTAAATAGACTTGTTTACTAAATTCTTGGTGCTGGTTTTACGTTTTTAAGCTTGACATTGCTCTTATGGGTGGATGGTGTGGCTTCTTGTCGTGTGCTACCTGTGAGACGTGCCCCTTACCTTTTAATGAAGGGCTCTTGAAATCATTACCTTACAAGTCCACCTGTTTTTGTAAGTTAGTGTAAATAAAACACTATGGTTTATACTCCAAAAAATATTTATCTCTTAACATTCTTGAAAAGTTTGATGACTTGGAAAATAGGCATTTCTACTACAAAGCTTTGATCGGCATGTCTCTTACATTACATTTCTCATCCCTTTTTTTGTATACGACATTTTGTTTTCAGTATGGAAATTGGTAATAATGGTTATCATAGTGAGAGTTCACAAGGTATCCCAAATCCTATGATGACAAGGTAACACTTAAAATAATCCTGTTACTGCATGCTATGGGAGGTGGAGGCATGCCTGGGGACGTGGGATTCTTCACAAGCATTATGACGGACGAGTGCATGCCTTTGAGGGAGTTGATTCATTGCACACACACGTACACACACACACACACACACGGTGGTCAGCTAATTGACAATATCAACAAAGCTGACAAGTAATGGTAGCTTTTATTAGAAAAACATAATATGTAAGACGTTAAGAGTATTTTCATAACAAAGTACTTTAAAACAGATTTTGTGAGGAATTAAAAATATATATTTAGACGATTTCAGAAATATGCATATTTACTTTCCTCTCTTAAGTGGATTTTTTTCAACTATAGCAACAATGCGGTTCAATTCCGTGTTTTTGTGTGAAATGCCATCCATGAAATGCACACATTAGGGTGAATTGTAATGACTTTAATGGTCTTTTGACTTTTAAACTAGCAAAATACTCAACACTTATTGGCTAACACACTAAACTAAGATGGGAAAATAGTAAACGCAAACGTAAACATCAGCATGTTAACATTATCACTGTGAGCATGTTAGCATATTGACATTTAGCCAATACAGTTAGAGTAACAGAGATGAATTAACAAGACAAAACATCGGGAATCATATTTGTTATCTTTTAAGACAGCCGGGATATGTACTCCCGGTGCCAGTCTTTATGCTAAGCTAAGCTAGCCATGTCCGTATTTAATGCAAAGCAATGAGAATAGAGGAATCTGCTGTTGTAAATTATTTACTGAGTCGTCATGGTAATATTTTTGCTACCATTACTTCTCTTTATCTTCTTTCGCTATGTTCTGCTGTGTGGTTTTCGGGGGAATCTACTAACCTACTGCATGCTCTGTATGTTCCTGTGGAATGAAAAACCTTCCTGTTTCTTCTCATTCAGAGTGAGCCAAAACCCACCGAATACACACCTGATCATTTTGTTCAGAGAGAGGCAAGCATGTCAAGCTTTTGGTGTGACGCTGCAAACGCTGCTCCTTTGTTTCCTCCTTTATTAACAAAAGGTCTAACTGCATGTTGTGTATTTTCAAGTTGCATTTGGACGAGGAGACGACTGTAACAGAAGCTACAGGGAGAGAGCAAAACAGCTGGACCAAACATCTTCGCTTCAGCGTAATCTTTTAAACTCATTGAACTTGGGTTTCATTCCAAAAGCTGGAAGGCAAAACCCAAAGAGAAAATGTTTTTGGGCAATTTTTATGATCTTTACTGGTAAAACAATTCAAAGATATAAAATCTTAAAATGAGTACAAGATGTTGGAATGACAATTACGAATCACTGTCCACAAATACAGCATGTATCCACAACCTCATTTGAGCTAAGGTTACAACGGCTGCTACTGAAACACTGACCCTCCAGTTTATCTTTAAAAAGTATTATTTTTTATAAATTAATATTTTATATTAACCTGTAAAGAGACACAAGCAAAGTGGTCACATTCACACAACCGGAATGAGTGAATAACATTTTGGAAGCCAGACATTTTAGAACCTGGTTAAATTATCCTTTCATATTGATCAGCAAACCCCACTAATGTAAACTTCATTTTATACTTTAAAAAAACTCCCTACTCACTTCCCCTAAAGTGAGGATACAGTTCATCCATCGTGATGTTCATAAGCTGTTTTGTTCTCTGCCTCGTCAACCACTCGTTCTGCTTCTCTCGAAAGAAGAGAAGCAAGCAGAGGTTGTTACGTTTTTTTTATGTGGCTGTTAATGTTTTGCCCTCTGTGTGTGTGTGTGTGTTTTGGTAGCATCCCTACCTATGACACTATGAACAGGTTCCCGCGGGCCTCGGCTCCTCCGAGGCACATCGACTGGTGACAGAGAGCCGGCTCTGGTTCTGTCTCCTGAAAGGTACAGAAAACCTGCGTCAGACCTCTGTTTACACTTTTTAATTTAATTCCTTCCTTCCAATCTTTAGTCTTTCTTTTGCACAGCCATCATCTCGTCCCGCTGTTCGTCTGTCATGAACACGTAATCTTTCCCTCTCCTGTTTTTAATCGTAGTTATTTTTAGTACCTCTTCTAACCAAACTCTTTATCACTTCTTTACAGCTTGTTTTAGTGCTGTTCTGCTAACAGTGACTTTGCAGGAAAACCATCATGGTGAAGGTTGCCAATTTTAGAATCACTCATGAACCATTAAAGGTCCCATGTCATGCTTTTCCGGTTATTACCCGTCCCCTTGTGTGTTATGAAGGTTTTTATGCATGTAAACGGTCTGCAGAGTCAAAACCCTCAAAGTACACCCTGTCGCGAGTAAAACTCTAACACAGAGAATACTTCCCCAAAATGCCTCGTTGGAGATACGTCATTGTCCATTTGATTCTTCCGGGTAAGCATGATGTCAACCGTACCCGGAATGAAATGGACCAATCCGTGGAGCCGTTACGTCCGTGGAGCCGTTACGTTAAGCCCCCGCTGATTGGTCCAAATTGACCAATCCACGGACTTCCTCACACACACACACAGTGCATGCAGCTCTGCTGATCTCTCCTCCCTGGCTGCAGGCTGATAACAGACAGTTGGGATCGCGGCAAAATTCTCTCTGCAGACCCATTCTCACAACGTTTATCAACCTTTTTCTTACTCAATATCAAGCCACACTTATTGTTTTTACTTCGGCTGTGACTTTGTGTGTGCTCAGGATGAGTTTGGCTGTGTTTCGCTGTGTATCGCTAAACAAGGAAACCACACCTCCACGGAGCTCAGCGCGATTCACAACGTCCCGACCAATCAGAGCACACTGTGCTCACAGGGAGGATGGGGGCTGGAGCTACTGGAGCTACAACGAGCCGTTAAAGGCAGAGAGTGAAATTCAGTGAATACACGTAGTTTACAGAGATGCATGTATGAGAAACCAAAGTGAGTTTGGAAAATTGCACAATATAAATCTATTCTAGTAGACCTCAACAATGGAATTATGATCAGTGGAAATGGCCATGACATGGGACCTTTTAATGTCTTTGCCTTGTTTGATGCTGGTTGAAAATATTGTATGTTTTCTTCTAAAAACTGCTTTATTATTTTACTGAACGTCAAATAGCATAATGTCAAGGTTACTCCCAAACATTTTGGAATATTTCTAATACATACATTTGAATATCTGCAACGAAATGCATTATCCCCAGAGGAGAGCAGGTTGTATAGGACTAATATAATAAAGGTTACATTTCTTCAGTTACAAAAAGCACCACACAGTTATTGAAATTCCTCTGTGGAGCTTCAGTGAAGACTAATCTGACTGCACTCGTATGTCTGTTATTTCACAAAACAGTCAAAGCTACATTCATCTCCTGGTTCATTCAAAAGAAAAGAATATGTTATGCTAATTACATTACATGTCACTTGTTAGACGCTTTTATCCAAAGCGATTTACATACTCAATACTGTGGGCAATCCCCCCAGGAGCAATTTGGGGTGAAGTGTCTCAGGGACACAACGACATGCTGACTGCAGTGGGGTTTGAACCTGTGCTCCCCCTGATCCGAACACCAACGCACTAACCCACTGCGCCACACAGCCTCCCTAATGAAAAAGAAAAATGTTCTTTGAATCTAATTAATTATTTGGAAATATTTGTTTTTCTAGTGCCATCACAAACTGGAACTAAAACACACCATAGTAAGTATGTTTGACTAATTTACATTTTAGAAATAGATAAAAGGTGTTAAATCTTGCAAAAAGTCATGAACACTTCTGGGATGAGGTGCTTTATTGAGAACAAGTGATATTACCTCATGATAAGTTTTTAATTTACTGACATGAAGAGCTACGCAAAGCAGTAAAACGTTTGGTACAACAGTGGAGCAATGCCTGGATATATTCGGTATATTTTTAGTTTACTAATTAAAACCTTTCTTTTGTTCCTTCTTTTTTCAAGCGGTTTGTTTCACGAGGCCTCGGACCAGAAGAAGTTCAATCGAAGCTGGTTTCCTTACAACAAAAGAACACACAAAGCCCTTTGGGTGTTTTTTTGTGTTATCTTTAGTGATCAACTCAACCTCCTCAATCAAGCAGATCACAGCCTTCGGTACAGAAGCCTGCTCCCCTTCAAAGAAACTGCCTGCAGGATATCAAACGTCTCCTTAATCAATCCGAGTCTGGCTTGTTCTGCATTTTTTTTTTTTTTTTTCATGGATTTCTGCGTCTGCGTTTACATTTGTTCAGACATAAAACTGAGCTGAAGAATAATTTCAGCCAGAGGACAATAACGGTGATGCCTGTTATCGTAATGTACTTGTCTGTGTTTAGGAAGACGGGGACTGAAAGGTCATCTGAAGGTCATGGCGAGCTGCTAGAGGAACTGTTTCTCCTGCTGTTAGGATGGATCTATCACATTCAAAAGACGCTTATTCTAAAAAGGGGAACAGTCTGTCGTTGTATCTCTAATGTGAGGTGCAAATTAACGTGAAATCCAATGTGTTTAGTTGAGAATGGCACAGCGTTTTCAGAGTGTTTCATGATGAGTGAGAACTGAATGATAGAAATAAGGTGGTTAAAATAGAGACAAGTTGGTCCCAGGTGGATATATATTGTGATTAATATGAAAGACTTTAGCATGACTTTAAAACAAAAATGTTTACAATATTACAAAACATCCAGACACCACTGCTGGTTGCGGGGATTTGCAAAAGACTGGTTGCCTTTCAGAAGTTTGTTTCATGCAGTTTTTGTTTTTACAGATATGGTCCTTTCTTAAAGGGAAAATGAACCCACGGATGCTCTTACACTGAAAATGTCAATATTAATATCAGAAGTTTGACCAAAGAGGGATTTCCAATGCTCAGATGCATTCATTCATCACACTGTTTTTAATGTTACATGTTCATCATCTTGGGACCCCTCAGGTTTAGCTTGGGACCATTTGGTACCACATATTTAGACATCTGAAAAGCATACCTCCATTTAAGAAATCCTGGTTTGGGCATTAGTCAAATGAGTACCATTGATACTCAAACTAATTCAGTAAAATGCACCATTAAATATAATGTAACCAACAGTGTAAGCATTGAGGTGGATTTTCCCTTTAATTCATAAAGTTAGTTTATATATATTACAAAGTGTCAGGCTTATAGATTGTTCCCTAGCTGATGAATCGATTAACAAGCTATCATGTTGAGTTCACTAACATGACACTTTTACTGAGATGTTTCTTGCTTTCATAGTGATGATATGTTTAAAGTGGAGAAATACTTCTCAAGCCAAATTATTTTTCTTACCATAGGTCTCAGTCTTTAGTAAATGATGTGCATATTCAGTTTGTGCTTTTTAAACCCCACTGTAGCTATGGATACATTCACAGTATACTGCACAAGTGAATGTATTCAAGAGCTATTTCTTATTTTTGTATAACTTGATGATGTTGGTTGAGAAATATGCTGAACTCTTATCGATAAAACGCATTGGACAAGCCAGTACAGTCGTCCCATCCTCGCCGCAATGTTTACACATTAGATTTAGACAATCCGTTCATGGGACAATTCAAATATCAGAAAACCAGAAGAATGCTTTCCGGTTTACACGGTGGATGGAGTCGAAGCACACTGTAGAAAAATAAATGTCCATCTTAACATGGGAAGCTTGATTTTTACAGGTCTAGCTAATTGTATACGCTAACCAAACAATAGCGACCTACAGTCATTACTTAAGAGTACCAAATGTAAGAGTTTAAAATATAAAAAATACGATTTAAAGTTTATTCAAGGAAAGAAAAACTGTGAAAAACATGAAATAAATTCGAACAATTTTATATTTAAACTGTATTTTGGTAATATTCGTAAGACAGCTGACTAATTTAACTCATTCATTAGTTTAAATTATCAAAGGAATAAGTTTCATAATTTGGGATAAAAGTTGTGACATCACAAAAGTACTTAACATTAGGTAGCTAGTGGGTGTTTCTCAATGTCGAGGACGCTTCCTTGGTAGGACATGTCTTCCGAGTCAGGTCCTTCAGAAGCGAGGCAAGAATCCTTCCTAGCCTCGGAAAACGAAGAATGGTCGGAACAGGCTAACAGGTGTGCGGTGTGCATGATATGCAAGGCCCTGCCTTAAATGGAGACTCATAACTGATTTGCGAAGATTGAAGATGTACTTGAGTAACTGTATTTGGTAAAATTATCATCTCTCCAGGACAGAACCACTAAACTAACATAAAACGTTCTCCTTCTGTTTGCAGCCTTAAAAAAGTACTGGCGGATAAGCAGCCATAAGGAAATAGTACAATAACCATCACCAATCAATAATAAAATAGTGTATTTCATTTCATTTTTCATTTTCATCT